ACTTACACTTTTATATTTAGTCTCTTATATGTGTAGCTTTGTTAATACAATTTTGTCCTTTGTTTGGCACATTCATTTATTATCTATTTTATTAAATTGACATTGCTTTAGCTGACAGGCTCTAGATTTCGAAGTGTCCAACTGATAAGTGGGAATGTTTCCCTTTATAGATACTTTGTTATATTACAGTGGTAACACTGCATTTCTATTTAGACTCTGTTAGCTCCACTATCTATACAGATTGGGTCCTTTTTGAGCTTATCTTTTGATTGTATACTTGTGTTAGTTGATAGCTTTTTTATAAGTATACAACTAAGTGCTTATTTGGGGATAGTATACTGATTGTTCGCCCTTCGGGTAGTGTGTTATTGTATTATAACTTTACCAACTAGCCCTTTGAATCACATTTGGTACACCTCTATCTGGGAATAAGACATATATTTATGTGTTAAAGCACTGTCCCTCTACGCATAGGTGTACATTGGCTCATGTTGATAGGATTTACCTGTCTCTTAGCCTTTACTTTGGATTACTGTCAGCAAATTCCATTAGGTTTCCCCTTTCTAACCACGTATACACTTTGCACGATTTCTTTTCACTTTTTTTATTCTTATGTCGTATAACGCAATAAAGGTTAAGTTTATTGAATTTATTAGATTATTACTTATTTTTCATTATTTGTTCTTTTTTTGAGCTGTATACTGTATTTGGGTAAGATCTGCATCTGTGCGGTGGTGTGGGGCACCAAGACTAAGTCTGGTGGCCTCTTCCCGTTTTGCACAGTTACGCAGTACTTGTTTTTCTTTTCTTATTCCCAATGAAAACATGCATGCATTTAGATAGATGCTCCAGACCCCTAAAGCACTTTGGATTGTTGAAAAGTTTTATGTGTAAAAAGTGTCCTATTTTTTTTTCCGTTTTGGATTTCAATAGAAATTGACACTTTTATGAATGAACCTGGTTACACCCCTCTGACTTTTCAAGCAGGTAGCAGGTCCTGTTACTTCCTGGTCTGGTTAGCTCAGTGCTCGGAGCACCTGCGTTGCAAAGACTTCTCATTGAGCAGCAGTGGGAAGTCTGCGATTGGACAGCCACAGAAAGTCTGGGCAGGGTAAGAAGAGGAGAATTTGCAGACGCAGCAGACAAGAGATCTGCAGGTATTGCCAGTGGTTTTTAGATTAGATTTTAACTTGAATGGAAAACAAATCCATAATTAAATGCCTGTGAGTTTTAATATGGGGCAGTTAAGAAAGATTTAGTGATTTAGGGTCTGTAGTGTCATTTTAAGGCAAAATAACAGAATCAAGCATTCTGGGTATATATTCATTGCTTATTTGTTGTTTTATTTGTGTAAAATTCTAAACACATTTATTCCAGTAAAGGGTCGTTCCAGTATGAAATAGTTTGGCACCCTCTTAACACAGTAAATAGGTCATGTGCACCATCAACAAAATATTAGTGCTTCCCATGAACCCCATATCTCCACATATACTAAATGGTCACTCCAAGTTTGGTTTGCCTTAATTATGAATTTCTGAGCTGTTTAGCTGCTTTGAACCAATGAAATCACTGCGAATCTGCAGAACAAATGAACCGATTTGTTAGTTTATTCCCAAATAAAGCAATTCATTTGTTAAATTCCAGACAAATCCATGTATTTGTTAAATCCCAGACAAATAGATTTATTCGTCCATAAATTGACAGGCATTTGACTCGCTCAATACAGCTGGCAGGAAATTGTGCACAAGTCTAATTGAAATCATTCAGATAACCACTGCAAGCATATGATGTCACACACATGCATATTGAATACTTACTGACAGCTGTGTAAACACAGTGCAATGCTGCACCTATGTCTTCTAACTTTAGTGAATGTAGAATGTATTCTGCCCAAATAGGCAATGGCTGAGTGACAGGCAACAGAGGGTTATAGTCAATGGAGTATATTCAAAGCAAGGTCTAGTTACCAGTGGGGTACCTCAGGGATCTTTACTTGGACCCATTCTCTTTAATATTTTTATTAGTGATAAGCCAAATGGCAAATGATTTAGGTAAACTAGAAAAATGGGTCAGTGCTGTGGCAACTAACATTTAATGTGGATAAGTGCAAGATAATGCATCTTGGACGTACAAACCAAAGGGCAGAGTACAGAATATTTGATAACCAACTTACCTCAACATCTGAGGAAAGGGATTTAGGGGTAATTAATTCAGATGACTTTCAGGTAAGCAGACAATGTAATAGAGCAACAGGAAATTCTAGCAGAATGTTTGGTTGTTTCGGGAGAGTAATTAGCAGTAGAAAGAGGGAAGTGCTCATGCCATTGTACAGAACACTGGTGAGACCTCACTTGGAGTATTGTACGCAGTACTGAAGACCGTATCTTCGGAAGGATATTGATACTTTAGAGAGAGAGTTCAGAGAAGGGCTACTAAACTGGTTCATGGGTTGCGGGATAAAACTTACAAGGAAAGGTTAAAGGATCTTAACGTGTATAGCTTGGAGGAAAGACGAGACAGGGGGGATATGATAGAAACATTTAAATATATAAAGGGAATCAACACAGTAAAGGAGGAGACTATATTTAAAAGAAGAAAAGCTACCACAACAAGAGGACATAGTCTTAAATTAGAGGGGCAAAGGTTTAAAAATAATTTCAGGAAGTATTACTTTACAGAGAGGGTAGTGGACGCATGGAATAGCCTTCCAGATGAAGTGGTAGAGGTTAACACAGTGAGGGAGTTTAAGCAATGCAAGGGATAGACATAAGGCCATCCTAACTATAAGATAAAGCCAGGGACTAATCAAAGTATTTAGAGAATTGGGCAGATTAGATGGGCCAAATGGTTCTTATCTGCCGTCTTATTCCATGCTTCTATGTAAATACTATATCTTAATGACAAATTAAACATCCATTTCTGGGAGTTTAAATTTTTTACTGTCGCAATACTATGTAATATTCTTATATTTAGTATAATTTAGGGTTTATTCTCTAAACAGTGAACTGTGAATTAAATAATTTGTGATCTTCTATGCATGTACCTTAAAAATTCTACTAAAGAATACTACATTTTGTGGTGGATTGGTGTGGAAGATTTTTATATAGAAAACAATATCTGTACCTAAATGAACACACGGGGCGGGGGAGGACAGAAGAATATTGATAAAAAAACATTTTTAAAAATGAAAAAATGATTGCTTTCTAAAGTGAAGGTGAATTCAATGTGACTATCAAATTTAATGTAAAAAATTCTAAGTCACCTAAGCTTCAGTTTAGCTATTACGGTCTCAAATTCGAAATGCTGTTTAAATCACTCTGAATTCTCACTTTAGTGAATACTTTGTTAATCTCCCATGCACACAGATATTTGTGAGTTGAGTTTAAAGCACAAACAATTAGCAATTGTATTGTAATTCTTAACAATAAAAGTTATCTCCAGGTAAATATATTGTGCAATTGTAAATAAGATTTAGCACAGCCCCCCAACTGTGCAGTGGAAAGAGTGAATAAAATCTCACCTTACCATTCCAACCCCCATTCCTATTGATAGTATGTGGTGGAGGAGGGCATGGAAGGTGGAGAGCTCAGTATTTACAAAAGAGGAACTAGGGAGATGACACTAACAGTGTAAAAAATGATTCGTGTAAATTGATGGGGGGGTTTTTTCTTTTCATAAAGTATGTACATTTAAAAAGGAATTGGTTGAGGAAATGTAAATATAAGAAGGGTAATGAAGGGTAAATAAAAAAAGTTATTATAGATACTAAAATTAGTAAGTTTTTTTTTTTTTTTGCATTGCAAGGTGATTTGTAACAAAACTCAGAATTTTAGTAAATTGAAAAATCGCTAAAATTGCCACGCTGTAACTGTAGCTGAGTAGGAGATTATTTTTTTCCAAGTAAACTATTTGCTTACATTTTAAAATTCGTATTTCAACTCACTACGATTCGTTTGTAAAGCGAATTCACATCTTATTAAACATGTTTCTCATTGCAATCCCATCCGTATGACCTTCTATTTATATAAAAGAAATTAAGAAACATGGCTTTCAAAATCCACATTTAAAACTATTTTCATAATATTATTAAATAAAGGAAATTAACATGCACAGTAATATAGAAATATCTAAAATGATGTATGCAGATTTTCATGAATTTTAGCTTTTATAAGGAGTGGTCAAAAACAACGTAAAAGGCACGTGTTAATTGGATCGTTGACATACTGGCCGTATGTTTAGTCCAAGCGATATGTCCGGCAATAACACATCGCGCGAAACTGCTGCAAATATTCGTTTAATATTACAACATTTAAGGCAGAATGGCTGCGTCTAAACGAAATTCTTTAATTTTTATCGAAATTTACCCTCTAACGAAAACCACAGTATTAATGAAACTAGGTAAAGCTGAGCAAAAGCTCGACTGAAAATAAAACTGCTTGGAAATAAGAATATATTCTTAAGTGAGTGTTTTCGTAAGAGAAACATACAAAAAAAAAAACAATATTTGGGCTCATATGTCAATATTTATTAGAGATCTGATAACACGGGATCAATATTAGGTGGGTGTATCTCAACATGGGTTTAAATGATTTATGTCTTAAAATAATGAATGTCCGGACCTTTTTTTCTTTTAACTAGTTTTATTTACTAGCATTAAACTATACAGCGCAATTCTACGATAGAACCAATATAGAACGTGACCAATAATGATGAGAATTCATAATGAATTCGTTTAGGTCTAGAGTGAATAAGGGGCGCTTTGATGATTGGCTGGTTGAATGGGCGTGGTTTTTGAGACTCGCAAGATGATTAGTAGAACCTCTAAACCGTGGGCGGCGTTCCATAAAACTGTACTGGGCCGGAGTGCCGAGTTCCAGTTCTATGGGGAGCTCCCGGGGGCGGAGTCAGGGAGGAGCTTTGCCCGGACTAGTTGCCGCTGGGCGCTGAGTCGCTGCTCATTAGTGCCGCTTGCTCCTTTGCACTAAGTTCGTGCCCTGAGTCCGGCGGCGGTGGTGGTCATGGCAGCGGTGTGCCCTATTTCTCCTGTGAGGCCGGCAGACAGCGCCTCTAATGCCCGCCAAGACTGTAACCTTGACCCGCAGAGCAGCCCGGTTAATGGCTTGAATGGCGTGGAGGAGGTGAGCACTTCTGTAACTTCTGGATTTATTTACTAAGGGTCTTCTTGCCAACTCGCGATGTGTGTAAAACTAATGGAAGCCGTTATAGTGGGATAGAGCTTGGGGTGTCGGGGTCTCTGACTCTGTATGACAATCCCGGGACATGGGTTGAATGGGCATCATTACAGACTATCCCGGGCAGCCCAGCTCTAAGGTTAAATCGTGATCCTGCAGCACATGCCTTACACTGGTAGGGTTTTCTTATGGATACATGACCTCTAACAGTCCATTGCTGTTGCCCCAGGTTGTCTCAGACTATGAATGGCAGTAAAACAGGCTGTGTGGGGCCGCCGGTGGAGTGCCGGGGGCTGTTTTTTTTTTGGTTGTAGTTCAAGCTTTGGGGCTGTTTTCTTGCAGGGCTCTGTGAGATTTCAGGGCATTTAAACATTTAGCTCCGCCCACTAAACTTTAAATCCGTGTTAGCGCTTCCTGAGTGCAGACACACTGCTCCCAGTCTCTCCTTTTTATTACTCTGTTATTGCAGGCACTGCGGTCTATCAGCTGAACTACGAATTCTATGGGTTTAAAGCCGAATGGCACGATCTGGCAAGAGACGATAAGGAGTAAATAAATCGAAGGATGTATTCAATAAACTGCAAATTGTAGACTAGAATTGAGATCTGAACTGTACGATTTAATCTTAAATAGCCAAGTTGTTATATAGAAGAATTTGAAATGTCTTCCGGATCGGCCAATTTTGGACTCTATTTTGACACTTGACGAGTTTAAAAAACTATAGTGATTTAAATAGCCTAAAAGACTATCATGAAATATAAAATCGTTTTTATTTTATTTAAATTGTCCGTATGATAGTTGTTATTTGGCCCTGACAAAGTCCAGGATAGTAGTGAATTAAAATCAGAATTGCGGAATTTAGGCAAAACTAGCCAAGCTGACATTACAGTTGAGAAATAAGTGTGTGTGATATTGTCATTACAGTACGATATACTTCTCATGGCCTGAGCTGATTTTATAGGCTGTTATTCTAGTCCTTGGCAGATCAGTACTCCATGTGCACTCAAGATATGAATATGCAGTGACATACAATCATGTATAGGAGTATTTAACAGGAGCATGTTCAGTGGCTGTTTGTCTCCTCCTGTAGTGATTTTTAAAACAGAAGTAAAAAGTTCCACGTCTTATCCCATTTACCATCCTGCACTTTGCATTCCTCTAATCTAAGCATGTACTCTATCTTTGTAACTCTGGCTAAAGGTTACATCAGAAAGCTACTGTGTTTTTCCACAATAAGCTGGTCCTCTCTCTTCCTTCTATACTTATCCACACCTACCTTGCTTAACCCCCTCCCCCCCCCCCTTGACTCAAAGCATGGCCATGTATCCTACATATGTCTGTGTGGTTTTTATTTATTTTTTGTGCAAACTAGCAATGCAATTTTTATCTTGGTTAATATTGCACTTCTGTTTTAATCCATTGCATACTCTGAAGTGTTCCCTGTGACTTAAGTCTTTCTTGCAGAGTTTTTCATATGTCATTCTGAGAACATGTATTCCTAAAGCTATAGTGCACCCATGCACAATAATTTTTTTTTTTTTACTTTTTATTCTATCTACCATGAATACTTAAGTCATATGAAGTGGTCATGGTGGTAGGAGTATATATGTGCAGTATTTCTGCTTGAAACACTACACTTACAGGAATATTCACTTTTATACATCCCCAGCACACGTCATTGGCACCCCAGAACTCTGCTCTGGGCTACCAATGTCAATTTTGTGCAAAAAAACAAACTGTCAGAGTGCACTGTATGATGCAACAATCTTACTCTTGCGTGCAGTGCACTATTGCCTCCCACTTACATTGCACTCCCTCTGAAGCACTTATTTATTTTCCATTCCCTTGTGCAAAGAATTGAGCATGCAAAAGAGTACAGCATATTAATGAGGCCAAATCTATCAAATGTCTTAAAGTTGTATTGGTGTCACTTAAAATGATGGCCCTCACCATGCCATTTTTCCTGGCTGAAATAATCAGTCTTGATGATCTCAGCCAAGCCATTATACAACTTCTAACTGTACAACATACACTAGTACCTATAGTGGAGCGCTAAAGAGCTAAAAATATGGGGAATTACTAACCCACGTTTATAACAGGCATACACCATATGCAATTCAGTACATAAAAAAAAAAATATATATAATGCAGATGGTAAATATGTGTCAATGATTCAATAGCGTAAAGTCAGACCACTCACATGTAACGCAACCTATATACATTGGCTCCGTATATCAGTCGGCTCTGCTCTTAGGGCAGCATCACACCGAAAAAAAGACTGATATATGGTGTAGTATGTCAATCAAATCAAAAGACCAATGTAAGATGGATGTTGGGCTCACCTTATCTAGAGCCAAAAGTCCTGGCTCTAAGGTATATAAGCGTTTCCCAAAACAAAGATTCCTGAGGCTGGATAGGATATCCTAAAATACTAAAAAATTTTATTAACAAAGTTAAAAACCGTAAATTAAAATACTGTCCCCACTGTGTTTGGTAAATCCAAGATCAGCCAATACTCGTCTCTCTCTCCTCTGCGCTTCTTCAGTCTCATAATGTGGATAGTATTTTATTTAATTTATTGTTTTTAACTTTTTTGTTAATAAAGTTTATATTTTTATTTTTTCTGCATCCATGCTCCCTCAGTGCTCCTTAACTTCCATGTTTCCTGTAGCATCACGGCAGCATGACCTCCTCCTCTGGTATGGTCCAGTGATTCTCATGGAGGAGCATTGGGGACATGATGTGCATGACGCAGCATACTTTCTAGATACCCCAAAGGAAAGTAATGACTCAATGCTTTCCTATGGTGGGCTTCTGCGTCCCAAGACTCTTTTACTCTGTTAGTGCAGCAGAAGTGCCTCGGTGGCTGTCAGTGGAGATATTTAATCCTTGCCGTTTTCTGCAAAACTCAGTGTTTTACCTTGAAGCTTTGAATTGAAAGGGTCACTGCACCCAGACCACTTCAGTTAGATGAAGGGGTCTGGGAGACATCCGTGGTCCTTTTTAGCATGATAAAATCTGCAGTAACTGTAGAAATGTCCAGATAAAGATACATTTGAAGCAAGTTTGCTGAGATTTCTTGAGAACAGACTAGGAAGATTCAATTCTTCCTTGTGATTGTTCAGTCTTTTATAGTAGCAATCACCATGGAAAGTGTGGAATGTTGGCAAGTGGCTTTCATGATTGCTCCACTTCTAAAATGTTGCATCATTTTATTTACCACATTGATCTGTGTAAAATTTGCCTTCAAGACGCATTCCTGGTTGGACTGGTTAACGATGATAAGTGTGTTTATTTGGGGCAAATCCTCTGGCCTGCACCTTCCCATTTCAACTCCTGTTGTGCTGGGAGCCTTTCCTAATCAATCCTGTTCCTTACTTTCAAATTGTATGGCTAAGTTACTGAGTGTTTGTCCTATGCATATGTTCTTTCCTCCATACAGTTTACAGGGGGCATACATCACTTGACAATTGTGAGTTGTTGTGGGGTTTTTTTTTTTTTTTGGGGTGTGGGGGGGGGTTATTCAACAAATATACAAACCAAATAAGTAAAGGAAAAACTTTGAAAAGTATGTAATAAATGTTTATAAACTTGGTCAGATTGCATTATTGGGCACTCCTCTTGGCTAGGGGAGTTTCTTCAGACCCCCTCTTACCTACTCATCTCGGTTTCAGACCGGTCTACTAATGACAAACAGGGCATCATTGTGCAGCAGGAGATAAACCAGACATCTGAGCTTTCTCTGCTTCACCTCACTTACTAGGCTCTATCTTCTCCCTTGATCTTTCAACTGCACATGTATAAATCAGGCCAATGCTTTTTTCCAGCATTTCTAGGGATAGGACACTTGTCAGCTCAGTGCCCTCCCTTCCTCGGAGTGGGTGTCGAATGCATAAGAGATGCGTTTTTGTTTTGTTTGTTTGTTTTTTTTTGTTTGTTTGTTTTAGCCTGTAGATTGAGGCAACTGGCGCATTCAAATGATACAGATATCTCAAAGTGATGCATGTCCCTTTTTTAACAGGGTTGCTTGAACATGCAAAATACGGATAACAAACTTTAAAGGTAGGGAGGACTCGAGGCACGTGTCAGTTGACATTTGTTGGCTCTCCTTGAACCAGTGTTTACTCATTGTATATTTTGTTAATGCCACAAACAATACATTTGAAAAATGTTGCTATTGGTTTGGGAGGCTGTGTTCACACTATTTCTTACAGACCTTGCAGTGTTATTTGAACATTTTTGTGCATACTTGGCTATTACCTACTCCAATGCACTTTCAAAACCTAACATTGTCATTTCAGCTAGTAGTATTCAGAGATTTTCTGGAAACCATGTACAGATTTGTTCTCGTCTCTTAAACGTCATTATTGTGACTATCTTATGGCTTGTTTGCTTTGTTTAATTTTTTTTTTTTTTTTCTCTGTACTTCATAACGTGTCACTGTTTTATGCATCAACTTCCTGTATGTGACTATGCATGTGTATTGTGTTGGCTCACACGTTTATAGCAAGTAAAAAAAGCAAGTGTGTCTCAGGATGTCTATTTTACAAACTGAACTAATTGTGTGTTTTATTTATTTTTTTTTGTCTTAAAAGTACACAAGGTTGTCTGCTTACAGATCGTAGAATTTTTTTTTTTATTTTTTTTTTTTTCGTTCTTATTCTCTGCATTCCTTTGCTGAGTGTTAATTACCTGAGGTGGAATTTGTGCAGGTGAATATAACTGCTGTGTCAGACTTCAGAAGGCTTGCTTGTACACGTGAGTCGTGTCACACTCTCTTTGAGCTCTGGTTGGCGCGTGCGTGTGGGTTTTTTTTTTCTTTCTTTTTATTCAGTCATTCCCACTTCCTGTTGTAATAAACATATTTTTGCTTCTTATTTGACAGGAAAAAGATCAACCAAACAGAGATCCCAGGGGACCCAGTATGTACATACCTGTGTCTGAGGTAATGTGGTTTTACTAGAGTGTCGGTGGATTTGCTAACCGTGATTGAAATGTATATATCTAGATCTCCTAAACATTTTATATTTTAGTTGGCAGGGGCGTACCTTGGTGACAACATTGCCGCTGTGATGGGTATACATCCAGAGTACTTGCATATCTTCTGGAAAACACAACATCAGCTCCTACGAATGGACGGTGCTCTCTCCCTTCCAGAAAGACACTATGTGGCCATAATGGTGAGTTTTGGTCATAGGTGTGTAATGTATTATGCGGTTTTCTCAAATTTTTTTTTTTTTTAACAAGCTATGTCGTAGCGCTCCCCCATTTCTTTTGTTGCATTGTTTTGCCTTATTCTCTCTCCTCCCCTTCCCCCCCCCCCCTTCTCTTGCTGCTCTCCTTTAATTTATGTACTCCATTCTGTCTAAACTCTAGTTTTAAGGTATTTTTGACCTGACCCCTTTCCACTTCCTTCTCATCCATCTCTTGGATTGCACCGTTCTACGTCCCTATTTGACATGGCTAGATAAGTTGACCCCCTTCATCCATTATAATATGACTAGATTTCCTTTTTTTTTTCTTTTTCACACTTTATTTCTTTATTTCAAAGTTTATCAAGAGCACAGTACAGAGTCAATATTCCAAATGTAGACATTTGAAATGCATACAATGTTAAGACTAATACAAGAGAGAAACAAACACATTGATAAACTAGAGTCAGGCAAAAAGATGCATTTTTATTCTGTACCAATACACAAGCTGTCACTTATTTATTCACTTTTGCAAAACTAGAAGATAACTAGATAATATAACCATTTAAAAGTATGCTAGTATGAGAGACTGATCACAATTGATATAATAAGAACTATGATTGCAGCAGAGACCGCAAGTTAGTCTACTGCTTTGTTTCTTTATGGAAGGTTAATAAGTCAGACCAAATATCCATGAACATTTGATAATTACTGTGTAAAGAAAAATGCATCCACTTCACTTCAAAAAGTAGAATCAATTGAACTTTGAATACAGTCCCTTACAGAACGTGTATTAGCTCTCTTCCAAATATTTGAAATAATTGGTTCACAGAAGTTAAATGTTTCAACAAGGAAAAGTTTAATATCCAGAGAGAATGAACTGACTTAAGCTTTGTCTTTGTTTAGGCCTGTCCAGTTCTGTCACTGCCAGCACCCCTTCTCCTAATTATATGGTTGTTTGTGTTTTGTTTTGTTTTTTGTTTTTTTTTGTTTTGTTTTTTTTGTTTTTTTCTTAAAACTGTTTTTGGCCTTACATGTTATGATTCTACCCTCTCAAAACTTGGATAATGCAATTTTTCACTCTAAACTTTTTCTCATTCACTCTCAATTTTGTTCTTTGGCAGGCTGCTGCTCGGCACCAATGTATTTATCTGGTGTCGCTCCACTCCTCCTGTTTTCTGCAGGTTGGAGGAGATCCCCGTTGGTTGGAGGGCATTCAACAGGCACCTATTAAACTGCGTGTACTGAATGACCTGAACAAGTTCCTTGCACACAGGCCGTGGATGCTGGCCAAAGAACATATAGCAGTAAGTTGGGCAAATGTGATTCTCCTTATGAGGAGAGAAGTATGAGCATGGAGCCAATATCTGAAGAGATGTTGAAGGATGGTTGGGAGAAAATTATTTTATGTGATTGTCAAAGATCTATTGCTGTGTATTAGGAAAGTGTTATTTAAAGTGTACCAGTGGTGGCTCATGAATTTTTAAAGATGGTAGTGCTAGACTCTGACCTAATCCCATGTACTCAACTCCTGACCAAACGGGCCTTATTTTACACACATAGACATTGACATAGCTGGGAAAACATGTACTTTAGCGTTTTGACTCTATTTTCCTATGCTTTTCCAAAATAACAGCCCTAGAAGACATGGTAATATGGTGACCTGTCTTTTAGCACATTCAGGATGCAAATACAGTGGGTGTTGTCAAAAATCATGTTCATCCTTGGCATGTCCATCTATACCCAAACAATTGTATAGTATAAAATATACGGATATCAAACATACCCATTTGTCCTTGAAAATACTAGTAAATGTAGAAACCTCCTCCTCCACATGTGGTCCATCCTCTACCTGCCAGTTGATTATCTGCACTGTTCTTTGTCAATAGCATAGAGATCTGTGCTAAACAATGAGTGGACCGTCTTCTGATCACTGTACCAAAAGAAAACCAAAAACAGGCCTTGCCCTATACAAAATAAGTCACAAATCATGTTCATCCTTGGACAGAAGACCATGTCCAAAGTGCTTTAAAGGTATTTACATTTGTAGACCTGACAGAGTACGGCCAGGTAGGGTATCAGTCAGCCTGGTTTTCATACACACCTGGTTGAAATACCACTTGCTTCTGTAGCCCTATACCTTAGTCCTGACACTGTAGTCCTAATTTAATACTTAATGTTGGGAGGTGTTCTGGACTAATATTGGAATGGCGTGATTTGTAGTTGTTCTAGCGGTAGGATTGCCATGCTTGTAAACCTTTCCCCAACCTAGGCCGATCATATTGTAGAGGTGCAAGGGGAAGGTGGGTCCAGAGACTTTGTATTGGAGTAGTGCAACACCAACAGTCCTCCAATCCTGGTGCTGCTATAATGAAATCTTGAAGGTAATAAAGACTGTTATGGCTTTTAAAGAAAATGTAATTTTATCATTTTGAAAAGTTGCTTCCAAAGGAAAATATATGAACCTGTTTAGCTAAACCTGGTATGACAGATCTACTTGTAAATGTGTCCTTCTCTTGATATCTGCGTCTTCATGTGGCGAATAAAGCCTAAATAAACAGTCAAGGAAAATAAGACAAACCTAACACTTCTAAACAACTCTTCTACCCCCAGTTGCTTCTGCGCCCTTGTGGAGGTAACTCCTGGTCTCTAGCTGAATTGATCCATGCAATTGTTCTGCTAACTCACTTTCATGCACTATCTTCTTTCATCATGGGCTGTGGTATCCGGACCCCACAGAGTCAGCTGAGTAATTCCAGGCCTCCATCTCCTGTTGAATCCAATGAGGTGAGTGGATGCATCCCTTCTATGAGCTCTCCTTCTCAATTAAGCTAATTTTCTACACTGTGTACATTTAATAAATAACTACCGTATTTCCTCTTCTGAGTTGTGGGCTAGTATTTTCTTTGCCAGTGTCTTGTAATAATGATCTGTACATGTGTACAACTTTTTTTTTTTTTAATGTATGTGTATATATGTGTGTGTGTGTGTGTGTGTATGTATATATATATATATATATATATAATGTGTGTGTATATCTATATCTCAAAATGCACTCACAGGTCTTCTGGTTAATAGGAAAACTGGTGCTTTAATAAATCATCTGTGATGTACAAAAAAAATCAATCGACGTTTCAACCCTGCCGGGTCTTTTTCAAGATCCGTAGACCTAATCTTTGTGCCAAGTTTTACTTGGTTTGATTTATTATTTCTTAGTAGCATGTACATGTAAAACCTTCATATATTCCTTGTCTTCTGAGCTGGGTGTGTAAAATTGATCTCCCTCAAAGTGGAAGGGATATTATTAAAAATAGTGGTGGTCACAGAGTTCTCATACTTCTTCCTAGCCAGATGGCAACATTACTTAAAGCAGTGAGTTGCAAAATATATTCCAAGAAACCCTACCGCCCGAATTCTTAGCAGCACACATTATAACCCTACCCAAACCGGGTAAACCACCGACGGTCTGCCCAAATTTTAGACCTATCTCCCTACTAAACGCCGACGCCAAGCTATACGCTAAAATATACGCGGCTAGGCTCAAAACACTCCTGCCCAGCTTGATGTCGACAGACCAAGTGGGATTCGTGGCAGGCAGACAAGGCCCAGACAACTCCCAGAAAGTATTGGATATACTTCATTACCTTAACCGCTCCACACTACAGAGCACACTCCTCTCCCTGGACGCTGAGAAGGCATTTGACCGTCTCAATTGGCAATTCCTACATGAGGTGCTGTCGAGATACGGGTTCCCACCGGACTTCCAAAACATAAGAGCCTTGTACAGCACCCCATCGGCCACGGTTCTAAATTCAGTGTTCAGTTCTGCCCCCTTTACAATAACAAACGGCACCAGGCAAGGCTGCCCCTTATCCCCCTTGCTATACGTGCTAGCGCTGGAACTACTAGCGATAGCCATCAGAAACAACCAAAACATTAAAGGGGTAACCATAGGCGACAGGGAGTACACACTTAACCTTTTTGCGGACGACATACTCCTCACAATAACCAATCCGACAATTTTGCTCCCCAACCTCCACAAAGAAATAACAATACAGTACACACTCATATTACCAGCTGAACCTAACCAAAACACATGCCCAAATCGGAGGAGGAACGTTTCAAACACAACTTCAACTATGACTGGAGGAACGACTACTTGACATTCTTAGGCATTAAGCTAACGAAACACCATTCGAGCTTATCCGCCACCAACTATATCAAGCTCCTCAAAGAAGTGGAGCAAACGCTACACTCATGGCAAAACAAGTTCCTCTCATGGCTAGGCCGCATAGCGGCCATCAAAATGACGATTCTACCAAAAATCCTCTATGTTCCGCTCCCTACAAATCCCCATACAAAAGACGTACATCCAAAGACTACAATCGCTCCTGATCAGATTTAGCTGGGGAGGAAAACACCCTAGAGTCCCTCGAGCTTTATTAATGAGACACCCGGAAAAGGGAGGTCTGGGATTCCCTGACCTTAGGGCATACTACCATGCAACACACATCGCCAACATGTTCCAAATGCACTCCACCACATACACCCCCCAGTGGATCTCCATTGAAGCCAGCTGCGGAGGACAAACAGACCTTGCAGCTGCTATGTGGATGCCTAAGAAACTGCGCAACGTTCCCCGAGACACCCTACCCACCACAAAACTACTATACAACATATGGGACAACCACAGGTCCGCATTTTGCTCAGCCACACCGTGGTCGATGGCAACACCACTAAAAACAACTGCACTCCATAACACATTCCCTTACAGAACATGGCAAGCCCACAACATCACACACCTACACCAAATCTGCACTGAAAAAGGCCCACTCCCGTTCTTAACACTGCAGACCAAATACAATATCCCAGCCAAACTAACATTCTCACATTGGCAACTGAAAACACTCCTAGACAGCACTACGGGCAACGTACCACCACCCCGATTTGACCCCATCCTCACACCATTCGAAAAAATGTGCCTTCACCTCACCCCCACCCAAAAAACATTATCAGTGTGTTACAGACACATAAGCCTCACACAAGCTGCTATATAGGTGGTACATGGTACCTACGAGACTTAAGAGAATCTACCCTAACATGAGTGACAAATACTGGAGATGTCAGACCCAAACAGGGACCATGCTACACATTTGGTGGTCATGTACCCAGGTCCAACCGTACTGGTCACGAATAGCAGAGATAATAAGAGGGGGCCACAGGATGCATCCTCGAACACAACGCTGAAACATTCTTGCTCAAACTTCTGCCTGCCAACATACCCCACAGTATAACTAAACTGATGTTCCTCACACTCACCTCAGCGTCCACCTTACTGGCAAAACACTGGAAAACCCCCCAGATCCCCTCCATGGCAGAGGTGACAGCAATGGTCACTACCACCCTGGACTATGAGGTGATCTTATGGAACCAAACAAAAATAGGCAAAGGGAGTGATACAGTGAAAAAGATTTGGACCACATACATAGAGAAGAAAACCCTCCAAGCTGCAGCTAGGGGCACTGCCAACACTGATACAACTACGTAACAATAGAACCTTGATGGTTCATAGCAGCCACACAAGACACATTAGTTATCCCAGTTATTTCCCCCCCCTGTTTCACCCTGCCTCTCTCCTCCTCCTCTCATACCTGGGCCCGTTCAGGGGTACACACCTGAGGAACAACCCCAGATAGCCTGAGAAGGCGAACGATAATAAGAAAACACACACCATAGACAATCAGACAGGCCAGCCAGCGGCGATCGAATTAGCCCGCAAGGGAAAGGTGGCCTGATAACTCATAGCCCTCCACAACGGAGGCCTTTTCCCCCTCAGACGGGCATACTACATGTGTCTCTTTTGAGGGGATAAGCACACCCTGCTCGCCACCATAGGAAGGCCCACATATAGGGGCAACAAGTAACACTCCTCCTTTCACAGAAGATGCGCAGGGCCGTGTACAATAACCCGCTCTACCTACTGTAAAACCCATATGTAAACGAAAGGAAGCACAATCAGTACTACACATTGTAAGCAAATAGAAATGTCGGGTATTGTACAAATGCTGTTAAATGGTATGATCAACTGTAATGTCAAACCTAACGGGATTTAAATGCACCCCCCTGAACCCCCCCTTTTCCTTTCTGTACCCCTCTGAACCTTTGTCTTCCGACAAAAATAAAAATTGTCAAATTGAAAAAAAATATATATTCCAAGACTATTGATTTATGAATGTGCAGAGATAATTTCCTTTTATTTAGTAAGCGTCAGTATAAACCTCTTATTGCAAATTGCATGATGTTTAGAGAACCCTGTGCCTTGTCTCCTTTTTAGTTCAAACTGCAGCTCCAATCATCCTATTCGAACTAGAGGGGGGAAATAAACTAAAACTATAGACAGAAGACCAGAATAATTGTAGTTTAATTTCTTCTTTTACAATGTGTTGCTTAACCCCTTAAGGACCAAACTTCTGGAATAAAAGGGAATCATGACATGTCACACACGTCATGTGTCCTTAAGGGGTTAATGCATTAAAACATGGTATTACCCAGAAAACTATTTTGATGCCACATTCAAATGATCTCAAAACAGTTTTAGTTATTGCGAGTAAATATGTATGTCTTGTTAGGTCTGTTGCCTAGATCAATGTGTGTAAAATGTGTCCAACTTTTGCTTACATACAGACACTCAACAGTGCTGAAGAAGCAGAGCGTGTCGTAGCTGAAATGCTGAAACTAAATGAGGAAGGAGAAGAAGCCACTCGCGAGGAAATGGAAACTAGATTTGAAAAGGAAAAGATTGAGAGTGTCATGGTGACTGCCAATGGTATGTAGTGTGTGTATGTATTATTCACAAAATCAAATTGTATAATTTTGTTTATATAACACAATCATTCAGGATTTCTTTTCTTCCCCATTACAAATTCGTGAATAGTTTGAGGGAAAAGACTATATTGGTGGTGTCCCATTTATAGTTCCCTGGGATTTTTAACTTGATGGCACACCATCTTGACATTCTATAGTAGTTAATATTGCTTGTATTAAATGGAGTGACAATTACTATACTATACTCTTAAGTGCCCAAATTATTTCATTTTTATTTGGCAATGCATTCTTCTACCAGAAAGCTACCTCATTGACTCATTCTTCAAATGTGGTGTAATATTGGTCATAATTATATAAAAGCACTATAACCACTACAACCTGCCACTAATGTTTGTGGTGCCGTTCCTGGGTAATTAGTCAAACTATTGAAAATTGTTCAGCAGTTTAACTGTGGTCTGCCGGTTGCTGCCTATGCTGGCAGCTTTGGGCTGATAGTGCAGGTATTGGCTCATTAGCTGAGAGAAATACGCATTCTCAGCCAGGTAGCCAGTTCTACATGCATCTAGGTGACCTCTAGTAAACTGTAAAATGCTTTACCCTCTCCCCTTGAAAAGACACCAGGTCACTATGGCACTGTAACAGCAAAAGAAGGCTAAAATTATTATTTTTTTTTGTTTTTTTTTTTTTTGTTCGGTAAAGGGATTTGTTTTTTTGATACCACCACCCACTCCCTGTATTAGTTCATACCATTTCTGAAATGGGTTGTATGTCAAGTCTTTACCAAAATCCATATAGAGAGCATCTTCTGCCACTTTATAAAAGCAAGTATAGAAAATTGCAGTCTAGTAACTTTTCTGCTTTGCATCCTTAACATTTAGGTTTTATAACTAAAAATTCAAAGCTTTGTAATGGGGTTTGTTTTACTGTGTAAGCCTCTGTGTAGCTCTAATATATCTGCTTTGACTAACAGGTCGTATCACACAGTGCTTCTTCTCTCCTGCTATATACCGCTTCCTGGAACACCCGGAATTTGGATACATTGATTTCACCAGACGTGGAGAGCAGGCTCCTCCTACTTTCCGTGCTCATGTAAGTCCTATAAGCTTAAATCAAACATTATTCTGGTTAATGCTTTATTTTTGTAAAAATTAAATGTATGGGTTTTTTTCACTTAGGAATTCACATGGGACTGCCATGGGTATTCGCTCATGCATGGATTATACTCTGAGATTGGACAACTGCTGGATGAAAAATTCCAAGTGTCATACAACTTGACCTATCACACCATTGCTACTCATCAGGGTGTGGACACCTCTAGACTACGTCGAGCTATCTGGAACTATATCCAGTGCATCTATGGCATTAGGTAATATATGATTAGAATCTGATAAATGGATTATGTTGGTTACTTTCTGTCACGGTTTTCATTTTCAACAAGCACAATTTTCACATGTGACTCAGTAGGGTTAACATTGATTAATTCATCCAAATAGTTTAACAATTTCCACCAACAGAGATTGCTTTAATAAATATTCTGATTATTGTGTCTAAAATATGCTTCTCGAAACTTAAAATCTGTCTCTCACCGGCCTCAAATGTCCAACTTACTTTTCATTCTGGTCCAGTGCATGAGTATGGAAAATGTTGGGTTTGTCTTATTCCTGGCTACATTTTTTTTTTTCAGATTCAAAGTTTTTTATTTTCATAGGTTCAATAGATCAGGGGGGGTACAGAAAGGAAAAAGGTAGAGGGGTATGTGCAGAATTGCGCAATGATATAGTACAATACAATGCAGTACAGTGTGTTACAATACAGTACGTTACAGTACAAACGGGCGTAGCTAATTCTAGGCGACAGTGGTAATTCAAATTAGGAGCAAAGCCTCAGCGTCATAATGGTAGTATGGTGATATTCTGGGTGTAAGGGGCATTCCCTGTAGGGCTCAGTATTACAGCCGCGGCTGCGTTATGGTGCATGCTAATAGTAATGGGGTGCTGTAAGTATAATGAGGCTTGTTGTCTGGTTGGATAGGTTAGCTCATCTGGTGTGAGGAGTATCGTATAGTGGTACAGTACAATACAGGGTAGCCCAACGTACCACGATGTAGAGCAATGTGTTACAATATAGTGCGTTGCAGTACATGCGGGCATAGTCAGGTCCGTGCAGCATTGGCGTCTCTGATTAGAGACAGTACCTTAATTTCATGTTGGTAGAGTGGTGATGTTGCAGGTAATGGAGCCACTATGTGCAAGTGTTGATACTATTCCGGTGGGTACGTTATGACGTATACTGGCAGTAATGTAGCGTTATCGGGATGGTGAGGCTTGCTATCTGGTTGGATACTTTGACTTATCGAACGTGAGGGGTATCGCCCAGAGATATTATACATTACAATACAGTACAACGTATTACAGTGCAGAGCAAAATTTAACCATACAGCGTGTTGCATTGCATGCGGGCACAGTCAGGTCTATGCCTCGTAGGCATTTCCAATCAGAAACGAAACCTTAGTATCACATTGGTGAGATAGAGTTGTTGCAAGCAGTGGTAGCATTCAGATCAAGGAGCAAAGCCAAAGCAGCGGATACGCTGTGCCATATATCCTGGTAATACAGCGTTATAGATGCAGTATGACTCATTGTTTGAGTAGGTAATGTGCGTATATGGCTTGGTATTTATCTCTGTCTGTGTTGGTACCGTTTAGTTCCCTGGTAGTCGTGTTGCCTAGTTTGAACGGTGTGTGTCAGCTATGTTGTCGTATAATTCTACAGGCGTAGGATTTATTTAGTGTTGGATTGGTCTTCCCAAAGGTCCGTCCATGATGCCCAAGAGGCCAGAAAGGCCTGTTTTTGTGAGGCAGTGCTTGTGGACATATATTCGTAAGTGTAGTATTGGTGTATTTTGGTGAGGAGTTGGGATTTGGAGGGGCATTGGGTGCATTTCCACTGGGTTGCGATGAGATTTCTCACTGCTAAGGCAGTGAGAGCCATTTTGCATTTGATATGTTTTGGGGTTAGTTTCGGGTATAGGAGGAACAGTCCCGTGTGTATGTTCAAGGGGGGTGTCTGGATGTCCATGGATTTTAGGACAGTTTGTGCCACCTTCCATATGGGCCTGATTCGTGGGCATCTCCACCATATGTGCATCATCGTGCCCGTCGCCTCATTGCATCTCCATCCTGGCTACATTTTTAATGTTGGAATGTAATATTTCTAGGTATGATGATTATGATTATGGTGAAGTAAATCATCTACTGGAACGGAGTTTGAAGGTTTACATGAAGACTGTGACTTGTCATCCAGAAAGAGTAACACACCAACTCTACAAGGATTTCTGGAGGCAATTCAAGCACTCTGAAAAGGTAAATATTTGAACATATTTATTAACCCCTTAAGGCCACGTGATGGAAATATTCTGTCATGATTCCCTTTTATTCCAGAAGTTATGTCAGTGAGGGGTTAGAGGGTTTTAGGACTTCAATATAACCATATTCACTCTCCATATGTGATACTGAAACATTATGTATGGCAAATAGTATCTCCTGCTTGTGGTCATAATTTTACCTAGTCTGTACTCCCCAGAACAAGCATGTGTTAATGGCATGCTCCTAAAGTGCATTGTATCTGTAGGTATAGTTATCATACACTCGTTATGAAACTATCTGCGGCTGGATTAATGTTTAATAAATAAAGTGTTTGCATTTGAATCCTATAAATCAAATTGCTGGTATAGAATGTTTTAATAAATTGGCTCTTTAGAGTTGATAGGTGGTAACAGTTATGATTGATACAATATTGAAAGCAGCTGCTCACGACAAATTTGTGGTTTTTATATCTCCTGCAGGTTCACTTGAATTTTCTGCTTTTAGAAGCTAAATTGCAAGCTGCTCTGCTGTATGTTCTCAGGGCCATATCCTCCTGCAAGACATGAACTTGAATTGGCACATGGGGACGGAACATTTCAGGATTAATGTCTGGACTAGGGTTGCCATTGAATCTGTTTCTGTTGTCTATTTGCACTGATATTGAAGAACTTTGCCCTTTTCTCTCAAAGTGGAGATGTTACTCTATTCTGTAGTTGGAGATTTTTTTTTTTTTATTTTTTTTCTTCCACTTTCTCCCTTTGCGGTTTATATGTAGCAATATGCAACCACAAGCTAGATCTACTTTTGTGGGGGTATTTATTTATTTTTTTATATATCTAATTAGTTTTTTTTTCATAAAGCAAAATTGCACCTGTTCTTTGCACACTACAATGCAGTACTATAAACACTGGTGTTACTGTGCATCCGTTTGTGTATCTCTCTCTTTGCGCAATATGTTCAGCTTGTATTCAGTGAAGTATTTAACAGATATTTACACAGCCTTGAAATCTACCTTAATTTTTTATTTATTTTTTCATATTTTTAATGTCGTCTGTCAGTAAGGGCTCTGTTATTTTGCACAAAGTGGGGGGAAAGATTGACACCTTCACTTTTACATGAAGTGAAGTGCAGTATTACTACACATAGGGTGATTGATAAAAAATACCTTATTTGTCTACCTCTTGTTTATAGGCACCTTTTTAAAATATGTTCAGAATATTTTATACTGTGAAAGAGTTTGTAATGTTATTGGCCTTTTTGAATGTACTAATTGCAGGGTCTATGGAGAGGGTCACTAAAATTCTCCTAATTCATGTGCTGTTTTGTCCAACATTGTTACAGATTTTTTTTGTCTGTGTGGGTTTTTTTGTTTGGATTATGGGGAGGGGGTGTTTTTGTTTTTTTGGTCTAATAAACTTATTTGGCTATAAATGTCATGTGTCCAATGTCACCGTATTATACATGGCTGTTGCCTGTAGGGTCAGGAGATGCAATAAATGAGCTTTTCCCTCCAAATTAAGCAGTGCATTACAATGTGGATATCCACCAACTGCTTCAGGTAAAGGCAGACAGGAACTAAAGAATACATTTAAAACATAAGCCCACTCCTCATCATCCTCCCTAAACCTGTTAAACTTTGCCAAATTGACACTGTTATCTGCTTGTCTTTGGCATTGATAGTTACATTACTCACATTTTTATTTTCATACAAGTGCACTACGTGGGCTCAGCTTGTGGTCTCTGTTCTTCTCTCTTAGCTTTAACTCCCATCTTGAGGTGGAATGCACTTAAAGGTTGCGATGGGTTTCACCTGGGGATCACTTTGTGCATGAAGCTGGCCAACAGATTTAGCATCTTGGCATTCTCTGTGCACGAGTAAAACATGTTTGCAATATATTAACCATATTGGCAAGTAATTTAAAAACAGACCTAACTGCACAATTTTATTTAAAAAGGCAAGCTAGTCAGAGTAAGCAAGGGACAGGTCCTGTTACTTTCTGGTTTGGTTAGCTTAGTTGCACTGAACTCAAGAGGCAGCAATTTTCCTGAGTACCTGCCTGGCAAAGACGTCTCATTAAGCTGCATTGGGAAGTATGTGACTGGGCAGCTATAGAAAGTCTGGGCGGGGCTAGAAGAGGAGGGCTTGCAAATGCAGCAGACAAGAGATCTGCAGTTTTTGCAAGCTGTTTTATACAGGCATACTCCACTTTTAAGTACACAATGGGACCAGAGCATGTATGTAAAACAAAAATGTACTTAAAGTGAAGCAATTTTTTTTTTTTTTTCTCTTCTCAATTGCATGAACTGCATTGCAATAGTAATTTAAAGGCATAACTACTAATACTACAACTGCAGATTTCCAGTGATTTATTTAGTGATTTCCAGTGGGCTTTTATTCAGTTAAAACAAACCGTAAAAATAAAAGTTTTAATCATCTGACAACCTTAAACTGGGAGGAAAAGTAAAATAAACCTTCCTACTGGGCCATTTTCTGTCAATACAGTGCCAATTTGTATTTGTTAGCAGCTTAGTTGCACACTTTGTTTAGAAACACCTCTTCATAACTTTAAGCATTTATGGTTTAACTTTGAATCCTCAGAATTGTGACGGATGCTTCTAAGCCATAGTTATAGAAAATGGCAGGGTAAACACTTTCACTGAATTGCGTCGATTGCAGAATATGGACAATGAAGGGCAGAAAAAAAAAATAATTTTTTATATATATATATTTCTATCTAGTAGGCATTAAAAATTATGAGATGATTAACCTGTGCTATGGCAGAAGGTGTGACACTGAACTGAGCTGCTCTGGGCGAGAAAAGAACCTTCCATTTACTGTTCACTCGCAAACAGAGGTGTGGGAGTATATGTAAAGCAGGGTATGCCTGTATGCACTTTTTCAATTTGTGTATATTTATTAAGTAGTGATCTTTATTTTTGGGCAGTGTAGTGTCTCTTTTATTATGAAATAATCAGGAATATTAAACAAAGCAGAAGTATGGATAGCAAAACTTGTGTGTGGTTTGTGTATATATCTACAGTGAAATGTGCCAGAGCAGGAGGGCTGCAAGGGACACCACTGGACAACCAGGCCTAGTTGCAGATCTTCGGTCATCCTATACCTGTCCCAGAACAAGATATGGGGCGAGAGGTCTGGTGCTGAGGCCTTCCCAGGCTTGTGTTGCACCACGTAGTTACCAGTTGTCGTGAAGGTAGAATACCTGTGCTCACCTCGTTAGAAGTGGTATTGATAGCAGCTTCAGATTTGGTGTTGCAGAGAAAACCGTGGTCTCAAGGAAACACACCTCCTTGATATGCTCTAAGGAGTTGCTCCTGCATGTGCATCCAGACCCAGTGTGGAAGGCCCACATGACTGTGATGACAGAGGAGAGGTGTTTATCCATGGTATTGCCAGCTGGTGATTTTGAAGTTTGGTCCAGAAATCCTCAAACTGCTTATTCAGAGCAGCTAGAGTTGGGAATGGCTGCTTGTGGGAGTCAAGCGAACATGTGGTGTGCATGGGCGTCCGCAGGGGGGGCAAGGGGGGGCACTTGCCCCCCCCTGGATTTTTCAGCTTGTTTTGCTAGTTTTCGTGTGAGATTTAAAATGAACTGCAATACCGGCGCCGGCCAGTAGGTGGCGCTGTGTATGGAGAGAGACAGGGATAGGAAGCTGCATCTTATCCCTGCTTCTCTCTGCTGATTGAAACCGCAGGGGAGCAACACATGCAGCCAGAGAGAGCCTACAGATCAGGTAAGTGGGGGGAGGGTTTGAGAGGGGGGCAGCAGCCTATAGATTGGGGCAGCAGCTCAGGACGGGGTGCAGCCCATAGATTTTTTTAAAGTAGCCCATAGGATTTTTTTTGGGGGCAGCCTATATAGATTTGGGCAGCAGCCCATAGATTTGGGGGCAGCAAGCTCCTTAGATTTGGGGCAGCAGCCCTAGATTTGGGGCAGCAGCCTTAGATTGTGTGCAGCCCATATAGATTTAAAAGCAGCCCATAGATTTGGGGAGTGCAAAGGGCAGCCTATAGGATTTGAAGCAGTGTTCAGATTTTTCAGGCAGCAGCCCAGATTTGGGGAGGGGGGCAGCAGCCTATAGGATTTGGGCAGCAGCCCATAGACTTGGGCAGCCTTTAGATTAGGGGCAGCAAGCCTGGCAGATTTGGGGAGGGGCAGCAGCCCATAGATTTGGGGAGGGGGGCAGCAGCCTATAGATTTGGGTGGGGGGCAGCAGCCTTTAGATTTGGGGGGGCAGCAGCCCATAGATTTGGGGAGGGGGGCAGCAGCCCATAGATTTTGGGGGGTGCAGCAGCCTATAGATATATAGAAATGAACAGGAAGGGTCAGCAAGGAGCTTGAAGGTAAAGCAGCACAAAGGGTCAGAAATGAGCTGGAAGGAGCACAAAGGTAAAGTAGGAGAATGAGCACAAAGGGACAGCAAGGAGGACAAAGGTAAAGGAGCAGAAAGAATCAGAAGGAGCACAAAGGTAAAGTAGGAGAAAGAGCAGAAAGGGACAGCAGCAGAAAGGGACAGCAAGGAGCACAAAGTTAAAGTAGAAAAGGGAGCAGAAAGGGACAGCAAGGAGCACAAAGGTAAAGTAGAAAAGGGAGCAGAAAGGGTCTGCAAGGAGCACAAAGGGATCAGAATGAGAAAGGAGCAGAAGGGCGCAAAATAAGCAGAAAGTAGCAGAAAGGTAAAAGAGCAGAAGGGGCCAAGGATAGAAAACAGCGTCAGAAGAAAAAAAAAAAAAGACTGTCAAATGAAGGAGAGGAAAAGGAGATTGGAGCAAGAAGGACAAATGAAGTGAACCCTCCACTTTATTCTGGACACCACATCATAAGGCTTTGGTACCTGGGCCTGGCAGGGAAACGCTGGACCTTCTCATCTCCAAAGGTAAAAAAATATCAGTATTAATGTGTTCACTTTTATTTACTGAGTGTCAGGAAGCACAGAGTGCCGTTGGGTAGGGGTGTTGCTGATTGGCTAGAGCGATCAGCTGGCACTCTAAGCCAATCAGTAGCTCTCCATTCATAAAAAAGTCCATTTTATGAACCGGGAACTAGCGATTGGCTTAGAGCGTCAACTGACCACTCTAGCCAATCAGCGGCACCCATGTCTGACGTCAATCTGCACTTCCTGACACTCTGTTTCAGAAGCCAAATACCACTGAGCGACCTGGAGCTGGAGGAAGCCTTTGGGGTTAAACCATTTGAGAGCGATTTAACCCCTTAAAGGAAAGCGAGCACCCAGGGGCTTCCTGGCATCATAGCATTTTCATTTAGGTGAAGTTGTTATGGTGACCAGAAATGTCCTTTAATTTGCTTAAGGGAACACTATAGTGTCAGGAATACAAACATATATTCCTGACACCATAGTTGTGAAAACGCTATTCACCCTGGCTTTATGTGATAATGGCTATGCCCCTTCCCTTTCATGACACTGTCAAAAAGGTACCAAGCATGGACGTCATTACAATTTTGCCCCCCCCCCTGGAAAAATTCCTGCGGACGCCCATGGTGGTGTGCGCCATGTTAGAGCAGACTGGGGCTGCAGCTTATCTTGGATACCAGCATCCAAACATTGCAGTGCGTGCTTTAGGTGTTGGGATAACACTCACTGATTGGGGGAGGGAGATCGTTTAGAGACTTGCAAAGTCCACCAACCACAAGCATGAAGGATACGGCCGCTTCCCAATTCCTTCTGTGAGTAGGCCTTAAGTCTGTCCAGAGGCCGATCTGCAGTACACGTCTGGAATCATCACAGGATTTATTCCACGTGACTCTGTAAAGTCACAAGATGGCTTTAGACACAGTCAGCAAGTACCATCTAGAAGTGTCTTAGCTCAATTGTTAACATTTTCTTTGGAGCTCTTGGGATGTGTGCCCGCTTTGCATCAAGACCATATTTTCTTTTTAGGTCTAATTATAGACTTGTTTCTTATGAGGATCTTTTCTCAAAATCTTTGGCTTGTGTAAAGACGAAAGTAATGTGCATATAAGGAAGATTATGAAAGTGCTGGTTCTTTTCATTTTGGTCATACTGGCAAAAGACCGCTTAAATGGCCCCTGAGTTTCAAGAACCAACTGCAAGGTCACTGTTAAAGTTCTGTCCGACAATGGCTTATATCAACAGACACAGGAACTTGTTCATCTTTCAGAGTAAGATTGTGCTCATATATGATGTTGTGGGCGCAGCTTCATCTTTTCTTGTATCAGGCATTTATTTAAACCATAGTCCACATTCTAGCCGATACATTGAGCAGAAATCATTTGCAGCAAAGAGATTGGTATTGTTACGGTACCCTCAGCATGAAATGTACAAACCGCTGTTTAGTGAATGCTCCCCTCTCGCAATAACA